TGTGTTACGACTCCCTTCGGCGCTGTTGAAGACATCTTCACGGCACAAGATCTCACTGAATCTCACCCCGAGATGGATTATGATGACCTGAAGCGGCGCCACTTTCCCATGGAGGCCGTGGACTCCAATGTGGTATACTCACTCCCAGACTTGATGAAAGCCGAGAAACCCGTATTTCTTGCGCAAGCCAACTTTATCCGGGGTGGGCTCGTCTTAGGTATATCGTTACACCATTCCTTTGGGGATGGCGCATCCTTGAAGACGATTCTTCAGACATGGGCCACATGTTGCAGAGGCGAGAGCGCTGCGCCGACTCTCACAGCATCCACGCGGCGCGAAAGACTGATGTTTTCAGAGACTGGCGCCAGCTTGGACGAATTTCCCGAATACGCGACTATTCCAGACAACATTGCTGGCTATCAACCAGGAGTGGCAAAAGGGGAAGGCCCTGAGATTGCGCCCGTGCCTCCTCAAGTGGATTCCCATGTTTTCTATCTTTCTGCACAGAGATTAAAAGAGCTGAAAGATCTTGCATCAGCTGAGCTGGAAGGCTCAGACTGGATATCCACCATTGATGCACTGTCAGCGCTTCTCTGGCGCTCCATTACAGTTGCTCGAAACCTAGAACCTGGGGACGCTGCAACGGAGGATACCAGAGTACTCAACATCCCGTTAGATGGACGTCGTATTATGCGCGAGGATACGAACTCTTATATGGGCAATATGATTCTCTTCAACAACGCAACAACGCCGTTGCGAAACTTGCTCTCGTCCCCACCCCAGCTGCCCGAGATAGCGCGCACCATCCGACAATCCATATCACGAATTGATGAGAAATACATCAAGCGTGCCATTTCAGCCATCGGCTCCGTTCCAGATGTCAGCAAAGTAATTATGAGCGGAGGAACATTTGGCGAAAGCGCCTTGACGATCTCATCGTGGGGCAACCTTCACATGGACTGGGGCCACGTTATTGGTGGACCAAGCGAGCGTGTGAGAGTTTCGAAGATACCATTCCCTGGCGTCTGTGTCATTCTTCCCGCGTCAGAGCCGGGAAATAGGAGCACTGAGCCGAATGGAGTGGAGGTCATGATTGGGTTGAAGAGTGATGACATGGCACGATTGATGAATGATCCGTTCTTCGCTAGCTTTGCGGAATGGAGGTGCAGCTGACTGAGTTTGTGGTCTTATGGCACGTAATGATTTTAATGACCTTGACGTTTTACGTACTGTTGTAGATGGGAGGAAATGTCACGCAGCAATTCCAGGGGCATTGATTGAGGTTTCACCTAGATCTTCTTTAGCTGTGGTAGAAGCGAAAATATTAGGTTTTAGACTCTACACAGAATCCTTCGAAGCCAAAACTCTTTGGAAGGAGAGGAAGGGTTCCAATTAGACACCCTAGACTATGTGCCATACCATCACGAACTTGCTGTGCGCCTTTTAAGACTGTAGACCTGCGAACGCTTGACCTAGAACTACACCAGTTGTACGCTCAAGGCACCTCACGCCCTTACGTACCAGTGACGTAGAGAAGGTAAAGAAACAAATGTATTCAGCAAGGATCAGGGTAGACATAAAGCAAGTCCTGGAAGTAGTGACTGTCAGTATCAAGACAAGCTGAAAGACATCAATCGAAGCTTTTTGAACAGGAGAACGCTCGTTGAGCTGCCCTTGACATAGTATTCCGTCTGCACACAGCTCTGCGAGCTTGACTAGGTGGTCCAACGATAGAAAAGTGCAGAGCAGGTCAAAATTTCTCTACATCGAATGGCCCTTTTCTTTTGCGCCTTAATACCATCGAATAGCGCGATAAGCGTTGTGCATTACTCGTCATCACAGTCCCTCAAATAAACCGCGTCATAATTTATCAGCAAATCCGGGATCCTGACCCGGTTATAGTTGTTCTTGTAGAACCTCACGACCCGAATGGTCCCCCAGAGAGCGACGTACAACACCTGAAGTAATATGGGGTCCAACTGTATCTTGTCTGCTATCGACAGTATAGATTTATCTGTCACAATGGTCTTGAAAGAGCTCGAGTACAAAGTCACATTGGTGGCTGGAGAGTGTGATTGGGACAACATTGTGAAGATCTGTGCCGACAATGAAGCTGTAAATATTGCTTTCCGTTCTTGTGCCATGCATAATTGTAATAGCGCCAATGACCACTTGAGTGTTCTTCTTATCATTCGTAGAGGCCGAGGCAAACGCCGTCTTGATGGGCTTCAAAGTCTGGATAACACGTGTGATAGGGTTGTTCGGCTTCCCAAAACCGGCACACAGGTCGGCCTTATCATGGGACTCGGATGGTGAAGGATCGAAGAATACGGGCATGGCCATGTGGATACTTCCAGCAATACCAACAGCGATTCTCCAAGCACCGCGAACTCGGGCATCTCGAAGGTCCTTGATGGGATATGGCATAGGTGGCGCGGAATCTCACTTGAAAGGTGTCACGGTAAAGCGGCGGATAGCTATCAATGATGTTCTGAAGGTTGTTCTTAGTCAATCTGTTTTCTGCAAGAGAGCCTTTCAAATATGCCACAAGCACCGCTTTTCCCCCCTTTGGATCCGGAATCTCTTCAAGCTCAAGCTCGGCGTCTTCAAATTTCAATCCGCAAACTAAACTAGAGTCGCCATATACGACAAGGCTCTGGCTGCTAGACGGCGGACTGTCAAACCTCGAAGTCGCATACGAGAAGAAGGCTAGGACGGTCTTTGCGTCTGTTCTCAGGTATGTCTTTTTAGCTTCCAGCTGCAATGGCTTTTTGAGGGGTTTCCTTGCGCACCTTCCTGGAGAGTTCCACGCTCGATTGGACATGATGTCAATCGTAGAATTCCAACATTATGTTACTGTAAAAGTTTGAGGAGGTGTCGGCAGGAAGAGTACGGCGGCGTGACGATCTATGAGCAGACTGTGTCTCTGAGGTACCAAGTCCTAGATTTCGCCACAACATAAGTGCCAAGACGACCACTTCTTGCTTACGAGTAAAGAATAGTAGTATGCGAAAAAACTAATACTGGTGTCTGTAGAAGACATATAAGACACGGTGTGTTGTTGAAGGCAGCTTTTCACATGGTGTCATGTTCGTGGATAATGATGATGCGTTTTTCCGGTGCTCAATACCAAAACGGCTAGCAGTCTTGCTTTATTTAGACTCTAGAAGGAACGCTATTCCCAGCTGAGCATTAGTCTGATCGTCGGCGGTCTACTCCGGGCTCACATACTGACCTCGGTGTTGGATAAAACACCACCGCAACACTGCAGCAAGCACGTCGAATGCTACTTCCCGCCGCATAAGCGAGCCTATGATTAGTGGATGGTACAGATGATTATTGATGGAGATACGAGATACGAGTCCAATATCAAGACTGCCGACTCTCGCTGAGTAAATCTCCTCAATATGATCAATCCGGTGGTAATGGTTGGATCCTAGAAGCACAGCAAATAATGCTCGACTTGCATTTTGGACTCTCTTTACATTTGCAACACCCGTCTTGTACTTCGTTATTTGGAAGGTACTGTCTTTGCTTTGGCCTTGGATCAGACCATTGTTTGCGACACTCAACTGAGGCACCTCCGAGACGGTTGATGATGCTAGCACCAATCTGATGCACACAAAACACTGGCGTCAAGTATAAGATGAAAGCTAGAACACTACTAGAAGACTAACGAATCATTGCGATAGCTTATCTGCGCGTCGGTGTAGTAGTCTATTCACACATCGTCCGTCCTTCGTCATCCGTTTGCGGCACGTCCGTAGTGGCCGCGGCCTATGCAGTGGATCCTAAATGCAACCCTAACCTTACTGATCGGCCAAATGATGCCGGCGAGATGTTTCCGCTACATTTGAGCATTGAATTGGTCAGATACATCCTCTTCGGCCACTCCGTCGAGTCTCCTGGCCCTCGGGATCCTCGCTTCTCGGTAATACCAGGCAGCGACTAACCCGTAGAACCTGTGCTCCGATAATGCTGCGTCCCTTCCATGTACCTATTAACAGGCCGGGGCTGTGCATCGAAGTTTTGGCGCCGTGGTTTTTGGACGGCCCCTGCGTCCTTTCCCGAGATTGGGAACAAGTCCCATTGAAACAGCAATTTGTTAATGTCTGCGGCCGTTCTTCGACCCTGCTGGATTGCGCTTATGGTCCAGAGCCTTTTTCTCTGTCGAAAAAAAATAAGGGTACCTATTGTAACCGTCTCGAGACCAATCATTGCCTGAATATCCTGAAACGTACCCGATACGTCGCTTTGCATTTGAAAAGGACAGCTTTGGAGCAAACAGCATGTCATCGAAAACATCTTACCCAAGCCCAAGTCTAATGAAAATGTTTGTAGCACACCGAGGATCCACTCATTCTGCTGGGGATGATGCGGGACATGCTCTTTTGTGGCACTTACCTCGGGCTTGTCAGGCTATCTGCCACTTCATCTGGGCCCCTCAGTTCTAGCGCAAAGGTGCGCTTGTGCTTTCACATTACATTTGTGGCCGGGCACGTGCATCTTCGACCTCATAGGGCGGCGCTTGGCAGATCCTTGTTGTAACTCCGTACCACTGCTTACCCTCTAAGAATGTGGGGGACCTGTTCATTTTCAGGTGTGGGGTCGGTGCCTCGTTTCATGTGCCTGACTACTGATCGTGTTTTTTTGATTCTCGCGCATGAATTGTCTGTACGAAGGTTGCCCTTGTCAGAAGCAATAGTCCTTTTGGACAGCACACATGACTGTTGTGCTCTCTCATTGACTGATATATATCGTGAACACGCTCTCTCTTTCCATTCGATAGACAGCTCTACCAACCTCAACAAGTGTCTTGACTCCATCTTTCAAAGATGCCTGACATCTCTTTGGTTATACTGTGGCATCTCTTTGCTATGTTTACCTGCATCCAAGCATCCATCATCCCTGGGGGTCGAGCACCGGTCGTGGCCCGACAGGCTATTGCCTCAGCACCAATCACAACAGGCAGCTCATCGTCACTATCCTCTACAACATCCATGTTAGCGCCGCTGCCGACGACAGTCGGCGTCGCGTCCAATGGTACTCATGCAGCAGTCAACAAGCTCCAATTTCAAATTGCAGACGTTATTGCCGGAACCAGTGCAGTTGCCACTCCGTCAGGAGCATCCGATTCAGCAATCGCCTCGTCGTGCTTGAATAACGATATTTCGACTATTACGGAGTCATGGCAGTCCTTTACGGCATGTTTTCATGATCTGCTGCGTGAATACTACTTGCTTACATGTCTTTGGGTAGGTCATGGAATACATGACAAGCCTGCTGTCTGCTGCTCCACCTAGTGCGACCGTCGACGGTGCTGTCGACGGCGTTATGCTCATGCATGACGATGTCAACCCGCCCGGCGCTGTCTGTACTTACACTTCAAGTAAGCATCGGATCAGGAACGCGGCCAGCTTTTGATTCAAGCTAAAACCCCATTCAGAATGTGACGCTATTGGTTGCACTGAGGTGAAAGACTGGGACAATGGGAGCGACCTCACGGTACAACGTTTCCTTGCCTACACCGCCATGGTCAACCTCAACAACTACCTCTATAATATCTACTTTAGCCTGTTAGATTCGGGCACAATAGGTGGATTGGTGAGCGGTAACATCGTCACAGTAAGTCTCATCGCTCCGGTTCGCACAATTAAAAACTTACTCGTTTGAAGGTGTTCTTCACGAATCCATCGCCCAGTGCTACTTGGAAACAAATCATGGGCACTGTCACTCCGTGAGTGCTTTTAGCCTTTGCTTCAACTTACATTCTGATACCTTACAGACTTCTGGGGCTCGGTTCCGCTATCCTTGGACCATTGGTAAGCCTTTCGCACTTCTCTTCTTCGGCTTTCTACCTTTGAAGGGGATGACTGGACTCCTTTGGTTCTCAGATCTGACTCTCTATAGAGCGCCGCCATCAGCCCAGTCCTCGGAGCTCTAAGTGCAATCTTCAGCTTCATCGCGGCTTTTGCCACCGCGAATAGCATCGGACCAGTCGTCGACCAGAGATTCAGCGAGTACGAGTTGCGTTTCACAATAACTAGAGCCATGCTAACCTTTTGGTTCACTGAATAAAGGTACTCCACTATCACCGATTTCATCGGAAATTATCTGAAAGGTACATCTACCGGAGTAGAAGCTGCCTTCAACAGCACCATCGGTTCAAACTCATCTATTGCGGAGTGGACCGAACTGTTCACAGGCGGTTTCTGGGTGCAATCGGACTACACTCAAGGCCTCGAGACTGGTATACTCGATAACTTTGTTAAGATCTTTACATACAAAGCCATCAAGTAAGCACCTCCCTACATAGAAAGTGCGTCGGTCTAGCTAACTTTAATTGAAGTTTCGCATGGATCGACTCCGGCGTGTTTATCATGTATGTGCCATATGGAGTAGCTATTAAAGACACAAATGGCAACGTTCAGCAGCAGGGAATCGATCAGGACTACTGCCAGAATAGCTTGAAGGATACTGATAATCTTGGAACACTCACCATCTGCGATGCTCCTGGTGGAATGGCCAGGATATTTAATGCGGGCGTAATCAAACCGTACGAATGTCTTTCCCAAACACCCTGGAAGTATTTGTTGCTGATAGCCTCTCCTTTCTTCCAGCGACCAGAATCTCATGCCAACCACCCCGCAAGGATGGAGCGAACCCTTTTCCGTCCTTCCCAGTGAACCCTTCAATATCACAAGTGCGATCAAGGGTTCAGTCGCCTCATGGCAAGTTGGTGACTTCAACTACGATGCCGCAAGCCAATACCAAGATGCATTCAGCTCGGGCCAGCCCCTCACATCGGATTTAGTCAAGGCACTGCAGGCTCTCGACATCGCACCAGAGACGGCCGGCTTCTTCAACATTCCTGTCTGCGCAACGTACGACCTTCGATTCTTCCCACCCGCTGCTTCATCGGGTGGCCCTGGCTGTGAGTACTTAGTTGCCCTAAATGTACAAGGTGAAGCGGCACTAACGATCACAGTCTCCTGTAACGCCTGCGGTCAAGGGCTGGGCGGAAAGCCCGGCTCCAGCGCCAAATTCTGGGACAATGCGAACGAAATCGTGCAAGCTGCCCTCACGGCCCCTCCCCCGTGCACGCAGGCATATGAGACGACAGTCTGTGTACAAATCTGTCCGAGCGATCCTTATGGCCCAACTTCCGGTACGTTTCGTCGGCCTCATATGCCTGGTTTCTATGCCCAGTTCATAGCCTGCCGTCATCAGCACTGCCAAAGCTAACCAAAATCTCCCACTAGCCCAAAACGTCGCCGGCGGCTACGCACCCGGCTGGTGCGGCGTGCACGTGATCCAATACCAACTCAACCAAGGTCCCGGAACGGACACGAGCCACTACAGACTCACGGTTACGATCTTCGACTCCAATCAGGTTGAAATCAGCGCCTCGAACGACACCGTCGTTGAGTCACCTCAGGGTGCTTGGACTCCATTTTACAGTAAGCTACCAAGTACGCTGAACATCCAGGTCGGGGCGGTCGATAGCGATCCGCTGTGGTTTGAGTACCCCGGTCAAGGAAATTGGCAGACGGGTGATCAGCAGCATCATTGTAACTTTGGGGCTTATAGTGGAGGAAGCCGGTCTGGCAATTGTGGTTTTACTTGTACTTAGACACTAGCAGCTGTAGATTTCCCAAGTTCGATACCCGGTTCTAGTTCCCGAATACTCCCGAAAGGTAAATAGCGACCGGGTCTTTCTGAGCCTGTTTCATCTGATTACGAAATCCCCGTCCTCGGAAAGATACCCCAGGGCCAAAGAAGAAGGCCCCAACAGTAACACCCTCCTTTATCCGTCCCACTACTGCCTCACCCCCGAGACCTGCACATGAAACGCCGCATACATGAATTTCTCCTTCCCCATCACCGGCGCACTTCCCCCAATGCCCCTATACGCCGGCGGCTGACACATCGCGAGCACCCGCTCCATCTCGACCACGACGTCGCGCATCGAAAACCTCGATTCCCACTTCCCGCTCACGATGCGCAATTTGAACCCTGCATCTGCCATTCCGGCTCGCGGAATCCCGGGATCCAGAGTTTGGGGAGATGAAAGTCGGGATTGCTGACGAAGTGGTTGATGAGGGGAGAGCAGGATTGGAGGGTGAGACGGGGAGACTCGAGGCCGTAGTAGCAGATGGTAGCTCAGTCGTCTGTTAGGGTGGGGAGGGTTAGCTTGGACGATAGATGGCATTCTTTCCGTGCACCGTAGCTAGGATCCACTGTGAGTCGTGTTTCAGTTCATGCAGCTCCCATTGTCGGGACCCAAATGCTCTCGCGCGGCTGTCTGTATGTCATAAGCGCACGCTTGTTCAGTGCCTTTTTGGTTTACGCGATTTCAATGACTCGTGGACTTGAAAAGAGCCAAGCCAGACCAATCGCCTCGCCGTACGAATGGCTTACAACATATTCAGCATCAAGAACCCGCGAAAGAGCGATGGTCTTTTCAATCGATCGTTGGTACTTCGGCACGCAGAGGAGCTGTCTCCTCCGAAAGCCCGATGATGGAGTATTGAACCACGTTTTGCTAATATCTGGAAGCAATGAAGAAGGGAAGGGCTGAAGTCTACTGATCTGCAAGAAGGAGTCAGGGGTTGTTGAAGATTACGAATCAAGAAGTTGAGATGTTGTGTGTCAAAAAGCAGGGATGGTGTCTTGATTACAACAGTACGTCGCCACCAGTACCAAACTTTAGCGCTGGCTGAGGTATAAAGATTTACTCAACCATCCGTTCCTTCGCTCATTGCACGTTTCTGTAGGTACACCTTATAGTACGTAATCAACCATAACCCTAAACCCGCAAAATGGATCACCCCATATGCGAGAGACGTTGAATACTCATAAAGAGCCCCCATGAACTTGCCATGAAACCCTTCATAAACGTCCCTCAGCCTCTCAGAGCTTCAGACCCTTCTGCAACGCAGCTTCCTTCCACTTGAAAGCATTTTCCACCACTCTTCTCATCCCCGTTGACATGACCACTTTTTCCGCTTCCTCCCTATCAGCCCATATGCCCATCGAATGTTCCTCCGGATCGACTTGGAACGCCAGCCCCTCAACCTCGCAGACGAACGTGATTTGCAGACTTCTAGATTTCGTCACTGAGCTGCTTTCTCCCTTTTGCACCGATCTCGTTGTGACCCAGACGAGTGGGTCGATCTGGTCGATAATACCCTGGACTAGCATGGTTGTCTCCTCGAGTACTTCTCGCTTCAAGCCGTGGAAAATGCTCAAGTCGGTATCTTCAACATGGCCACCGGGAATCGCAAACATTCCTGGGAACGCATGGTCATGTGCGGCGCGTTTGAGGAGGAGTAATCTGTGAGTATTCGCGGTGAAAGGCTTAAAGATGATTGCTCCGACTGTGAGGTTGTTGTAGCCGAGTGAGGGAGAATATTGCGCGTGGAATTGCGCCTTGGTCAAGGACAACAGGCCCGTAAGAGGCATCCTGGGGACTAAGATTTTCATGGTTTGCGTAGCTGTTGCCTCGTGGTAACTACATGCTGTCTGAGCTGGTGAAGGCCCTTTAGCCTTGAAGTTTGGGTGTTTTTGAATGGCGTTGGGAAAGTGGAAACCTTTTTCGAGGAATCGATCTTGATATGAAGTATTACTGGATACTCAAGAGCTTCACGTGTTTATATAGGCTGTCGATTGCCTGAAGGTGTTGTCAGAAGCATGCAAGAGGAGAACTGTGTTGATATTTCCCGGATCTCTAAATTTCAATGCTGTGTTGAACGGCTCAGTTGCCTAAGAATGGGTACTACTCCTGGGTTCTTCGCAGTCGATCCTTTGTGCTCTTTTTTCACTCTTCCACCCATATGATTTTCTTCACAGTCGCGGCAATTTTTCCCAGGGATCTCAGAAAGAGACACGGGGAATCACTACCCGAGTGGACCCTAAGCCATGGATGCCAAATGATAGGCAAGATTAGACAGAGAAGGCCATAGAAAATAGGGCCGGCTATAGCAGTAATTATGCTCTCAACAGCTAGCTTTAGCTTTCAGCAAAGGGAATGGGAGGGGAGGGGAGGGCATCTAACTTACCTCTGATTTTACCTCGAACCGCTCATAAACCACGTGGACAGAATCTGTCTAGAGAGATTACGATGATAATACGACACCAAATGGTGTTGCAATGGTCACAGGCTCTCCACAGTCAGACAGTGTGGAGATCACTGGCCAGGTCCTCAATGAATAGTTCCCTAACAGAGGACGAAAAGGTAACGTGAACTTCATCCCAGTTGTCTGACCGTCAGAACCCGTTTTTGCTGGTTCTTCAAAGACTGAATCTCCTCAGTCGGTCAGCAAATCGATGACTCAAGCTGTCGGAGAAGATCAGGGGATCAAAAAATGTTACAACAAGGTGTGTCCAAACATCCCAAAAGTCAGGCCACTGTCATTATGCCCTACCATACCCAAATTGCCCAAACTTCCACGTACGAGCTTTCTATTGCACAGCTCAAAATGTGTTTCCACGAGGCTTTGTGCAATCAGCAAAGGTGCTTGAGCCATCACGTTCAATCCTGCCAATCCTGCTAAAGCCTTTGCAATCGACAAATTCTTCTATCCGAGCAATCGTCTTTCATCCATCAAGCGACCATGAGCGAATACTAATAAGGGCTTGTGAATCTCAACATTCTCCCGCAAGCCTCACTGCTCAGAGCAAGTTCCATTGGATCAATACAGCCGTCGAAAGCAACAACGCTACCACGATGCCAACGCCTACCCTTCCTGATGTGGCGTGGGTAGCCGCTAACACAACGTACGTGAGGGAAGTCAACCAAAGATAGCGCCAGAGGCGAAACGAGACAAGCCACAAAGGACTCTCAAGCTCAAGCTCACCGAGTCATAACGCCAGAATGGAGGGAGCGCCAGAAAGCGGACGACGAACAGAAAGTCGCCACGTCGACTCTGTGAGCCAAGTATCTCCAGCCAGGGATAGAGCAGCGCGAGACTATCGGTATGATGGAGTTGAAGGTCATGAGCGAGATGGCACCGGGTGTTGGGATATCAGTCTAACCCGACATGCTAACAGTGGAAGGCCGAGTCTTGTCGGCTCCCCAGGTGAAGTGAAATTGAGACCCAGACCTGATTCCGGCTTCTGGAACCTGAAGGAAGATCGTAGGCTCATATTTGGCGCCGAGATCACGAGATGGCCTACCGGAGATTAGATTCACGAAACAAAATACAAACGCAGCCAAGCCAAGGGATTTGTCCGGAAAGCTTGAGATATCATCCAAGTCTACGATCTGCACGCATCGAACGGACCCTCCACCTCTCTTCTTGAACTCCACGTGTCCGGAAAAGCAATTCATTGATCTGGACAGATTCTTCAGTCAATGTCGAGAAAAGCAGCTCAAGAGTCTTCTCCTCGTCCTTCCGGCCAACCGACAGACACTCTTCGCGTGCATCAAATACCTCGCAGATGTGAGATGTGGCATACAAATCATCTGTCTTGAGGCTCCAACACTGCAGCGCATCGGAAAGTCCTGGTACGCAGCGAACATCGCCCCAAAGCTGAATACCAAGGGCGGAGGCACTAACCAATGTCTTCCAAAGCTTGTCTGCAAACGCGCTCGTTGCTACATACAAGCCGGTCTGATCTCCAGCAAGGGAGGTAGATCTGAGAGCGGTACTGCTAGCTTCAGTGAACAGGCTTGACAATGGACAGGAGGTGTCCACCTGGAGCTGCAGGACTCGATGTGGTACATCTAGTGTGGCTACGCTGGGACCGGATTGTTTGGTGTTTGTCAAGTTGCGAGGGAAAAGCGAAACAGCGAGAGACAAAAACAGAGGCACGATGAGAGTGTCGACTGGAAATAGGATTGAAATAATCCAAGCTAGTAAATCACTGGCAAACACTATTCCCTCATCGTCTTCCCATTCCCTGCGCGTTTACTTCATGTCTTTGGACCTTTTTCCGCACTGCCTGATGTCATCAAGTCTCTGTCTTCGCCATAGTAAAGAAGCTTATCTTTGCCCTTGGTCCATCAAGTGTTAGTTTTTCTTCCAGTCTCCGTCACTGTCACAGAATTCTCGTGGCACTTCCAGTAAGGATAGCCGTTTGGACCGTACTTCCATCGACCAGGTCTCAGGGCGAGGGGGATCATTTCAAAAGGCAAATGGACCCATGTTCCATCCAATTCGCGGCACCAGAATTCTGTGTCGGGGAGAGCTTCATCGATCATTGCATGCGCCTCTTCCCTAGTGATGGTTCTGCCAGGAGTGGTGATAGGAGGGCCGCTTGTTGAAGACATGTTTGGACGGAATTGGTGATGGAGTGAGCTTCTTGGCTGTTCCCCATGTTAGCTATGTAGATCATGTGATCGGAGCGAAAGAGACCTGGGCCCTTGTATAAACTGCGGGTGTAAAAACCTGCTCTACTGACCTATTCGTTAAAGGTGTGCTGAGTATGCGTTTGACGAGTGTTAGGTCCTAGATTGGTATGCTCCGACGCAGTAACGGCGTAGCGAAGGGCATCCTTTGGACCTTATACGTGCCTTTCAGCTCCGTGGTAGGGTTTCGTTGTCCTCGCAGGAGATGGTCGGCCGAAACGTCTTTGATAATTTTGTCTGAATGGGAATGGCGGCATGATGTAGCCCGAGGATCTAGAACCCCTGTTTTTACGATACGAAAATCCTTCTGAATATGCAGAGCTGACTCAGATGGTATATCGAGGAGGTTTCTCGCTCGCCGATCTTACAAGGTATTTGGTCTGGGAGCGTGCTCTGCGCATGTCGTTGACGATAGGCGCATACACATATGACAGACATGTCTTATAGAGTCGATTAGGGGAGGTTGGGGCACTAGCTGCTTCGACAGTGAGCTATAACGATGAGCGGGACAAAAGCCTTGAACTAGCCGTAGAAAGAAATTCGGAGACGCAACGCTGGGTCTACCAAATTTGGTGAGCTAAGTGCTGAGCCCGTCAACTGCGATTGATTCTATTGCAATCCTCACCGCAGGACAAGGGACATTCATATACCCATCTATCTTAACCTTCGCAGCGGAATCGTGTTGCACCGCCAGGTAGAATCCCCTGAGTGTCCTTGGCGGAGCTGAAGAAGCTAGGGTGAGGCCTCGCGGGCCCCGGGCATCTGGTTGGTCTTACTCCTGAGCCTCGGTCACCGGTTGAAGCACAGAGCGAAGAGAACTCAGCAG